TATTCTTTATTCGTTTATATTTCATCTAATTGATTAATTATGCTTCTGAAACATTTTCTATGTTTCTTCATCCTGTTTCCTCTGTGTGCTCCAGCAAACATCAGGCTGAACTCAGTGTGTGTGTGTGTGTGTGTGTGTGTGTGTGTGTGTGTGTGTGTGTGTGTGTGTGTGTGTGTGTGTGTGTGTGTGGACTCCATTAACGTGTCAGGCTAAAATGAAGCCGCTCCCTCTCTGCTCCTCTCCGGCTTAATTAAAGACCCCCAACGTCCCCTAATGAAACTCCTGCCAGCAGGGAGGGCTGGAGACGAGCTAAAGAGGCTCCTGCTGCTCTGACACACACACACACACACACACACACACACACACACACACACACACACACAGAGCCAGGTAATAAGCAGCACCTGGTCCAATTGCTCTGCTCCTGCTTGGTAACTGGGACCAGTACAAACCAGTCAGCCTCACTGGGAGCTTTTACACTTTAACCCTATGAGACATTTTATCCTACAGATTTATTGAAGTTTCTGTTTCCACATTAATGAGTCGAAACGACGACGTTCTGCTGAGGAAGGAGAGAAAGTATTTACACCCCTAAACTTTGACACGGTTCCTCATTTTTAAATGTTTGTTGGGATTTTATGGGACGGACTGAAGCAAAGTAGCACTTAATGTTAATGGAAGACCAAGTATTTTAAAAAATCTGAAAAGTGCGGCATTCTGCTGTTCTCAGGCTCTTTTACTTTGATACCCTCAGATAAATGCAGATGAAAACATGAGTGATCCTGTCAGCTCAAATGAGATGAAAATAGATTTTTATTTTTACACCAGGCCCACGGTGAAACACGGCGATGGCAGCATCATGCTGTGGGAATACCTAAAGGCTGGTTCCTTCAAAGAGCCATTTTCACCCGTCCAGATAAATGTAACAATTTAGAGATGCTTTTTTTCCTCTTCTTTAATTTTCGGTAAACATCTACTAAATAAAATCTGTTCTTATTTTTAAACGACCACCATTTTGTTTTTATTTTTAGGTTTAAAAAAATATTAACCATTATTTTCAGGAAACACGTTGAAGCGCTGAAGAGTGAAATGAAGTGAATGTTGTGGTTGCAAAGAGACAAAATGTGTTTTTAGGATCAATGATGTTTAAGATGGAGGTTCCCGGCTCACCGTCTGAGTGTGTCGTCACGGTAACCGTCTCGGAGGCGGTGCCCGGTCCGTAGCGGTTGATGGCCAGAACCCGGACCGTGTATTCGGTGAACTTGTTGAGTCCGTCCATCTTGTAGTTGATGTTGCTCACCTCCACGCTCTGGACGGAGACGCAGAGCAGAGATTAACGCGGCTCGACCCAAACGCCTCCGGATCCCCGCCGGCGCTCACCTGCTCCTTTCCAGACGGGCTCTCGGTCCACAGCAGGCGGTAGCCCAGGACGGGTCCGTTAGGGAGGCTGGGCGGCTCCCAGCTCACCTGGATGGAGGAGGGGGACAGAGCCAGCGCCCGCAGAGACTCCACCCTGCTGGGAACCTGGACTGTAGGGACAACCAGAGAACGAGGCACTTAGCTTAACCTGAGCGCTAGCTGCTGCTGGGAACATTTCGGCTAACAAGCTAACAGTGGAGCTAATGTTTAGCTTAGCGCTTTGGCTAACTTTGAAAACATCCAACACACTTAACTCCCATCAAAATGAACCTAAAAGATTGAAACTGAAAAAAAATTATAAACTACTTTCAGGTTTTAAATTTATTTCTGGAACTAATTTTATGACCCCAATTTAACCCCATACCAAAAGAGTTTCTGAAAAAATGAAAATTTCAGTTGAGAAAAAAATATTTGAAACAAAAAAAAAAAACTATGTAAAGTAAAATAGGAACCCGGCATAATTTTAAAAATGAAAGAAAAAAACGGACCTGAAACTGAAAAAAGCTTAAAGCTGCTTCTTGGTGGGAAAATAATTTGGGCACAAACATCATGGCCCCAATTTAGCCCCATACAAAAAGTTAGTTGAAGAACAAAAAAACCCCCTAATGTTTCAGTTTCAGCTTGAAAACATTTGACCTTTTTCAAAATGAAAAAAATGTCAAAAACACTTTTCAGTTTGAAAATGAGTTTGAGATCAAATCTCAGAAAATTGCTGTGAGGAATCTGGTTGGCCCTGATGTAGCTCCATACTAAGGCTGAAGCGGCTTACGGTCGGGCTTGGTGGCGATCTGCAGGGGGGAGGAGCTGCGCCCGGGCCCGGCCTCGTTGTAGGCCACCACCCTGAAGCTGTAGCTCTCCTCGGGCTTCAGGTTGGACACGGTCAGCTCCAGGGACTCCGGCTCCGACACGTTCACTGACCGCTCCCTGCGTGGGAAAACACGCCGCATCAATCACAGCTCCTTCCTTTGTGACACTGGAGATAATCTGAGTGCTAATCAGCTGTAATCTGTGCTAATCCCCCCTGAGTCTGGAGCTAATCCAGGGATTAAGAGCCGCCTCAGCCTCTGGACCGATCACCTGGTCAGAGCCGAAACAATTAGCTGGTTTCCTGCAGCGCAGCGTAACGGCCCAGTTAAAGTAAGCCCAGACCCCATCCTGACCCGGCTCGTCCATCAGAACCAGGATGAAGGTTTTAATCTGGAAACTTCTGCTTCCAGATTAAAGATTAAATTACATTTTTCATTAAGGACAAAGTTTTATTTTCACCTCCAATCAGAAACTGAAATTTATTCCTGAAACCAAAAAACCTGAAAATGAATTCATGTTTATAAAACGACCTGAAAAATAAGGAATCAATAATTTACAGTAGATCATTAAACATCCATCTATAACTGATCAGACTGATGTTTCTACTGATCTCCTGATTTCATCGTTTTTCTCTCCAGATCTCAGAACCAGACATGAGAAGAAGATCACAGATCCATCAGCTTCATTGATGGATCAGTAAAATCATCGTCGTCTCCTGATCCTCTAACTCTCCTCCTCCATTTCTC